TTCTTTTACTGGAGCATTTGCCAAAACGATATGAGGAAAGCTTTTTTTTGGTGCAAGCCGGTTGATGCATAGCGTGAAAATGTGTTTCCTGTGCTCATAAAATGTTGCAGTAAGAGTCTTTAACCAATTTCCTTAAAGATGATCTTTTTACTGGATAGTTGAGACCTTTAGTATTTATGGATAGGATTTTTATGGTCATGCTATAAGGTAGTAATTCAACGCTGTGAGTAGGGTGTGGTGTTTGCTGAGTTCAGCACTGGGTGTTCTCTTGCTTCGAAAAACCCACTGTTGGGGGGGGGGGGGGGGGGGGGGGGGGAGTGCTTTATAGATTGGGCAACTCTTATCTGCACAACATAAGCTTAATGTTAGGAGAGCTGAGAAACGGTGCAATAACTGTATTTAATGGAAAGTTTGCCAGTAGCAAATTGACAATGGTAGAATTAGAGACAGCGGAAAAAAAAAAAAAAAGAAACAAGAATCAAAGCAACAGCAGTAGGGATTATGTCCCCTTTATAACTTCCTGAGTGGTAGGCACTCCTTGTGCCTTGGAAGAATAGCGGTGGGGAAAGAGTTCAATAGGCTGGAAGCAGGTAGACACCAGAATTAGGCTGTATGAATGGCCCTGACGCACATTCAGTGAGGTTTGGCTCTGTGCGCGTGTTGTAGTAGGTGTTTGACGGGAAGAGCACTGCTGGTTGGCTGCATTGTTGTAGGTGGGGGTTAGGTACACCAAGATTGCAGTAGGCGTAAGCCTTCATTTAGGGAGAAAATTGTATACATTGTACCATTGTGTGTGACTAGCAATTTAGCGGGTGCAGACCATTGGTATGGTATTTTGTTACTTCGCATAGCTTTCGTTAGTGCGTTAAGCTGTCTGCGACGTTGAAGCGTGTGTTGTGATAGATCCGCAAAAATCTGCAAGTGTGCAAACAGATCAGGAAGGGGTCCCAGACATCTTTCTACATTAATTGCTCTTTTCCGTGATAGAAGTGGATTCTTAATATCACATTACGTGGTATTGAATCAGCTAGTTGTGAGGGCTTGGGTAATCTGTGCATGCGGTCAATAGTGAGCTCCATATTTTGTAGCTCAGGTAATAGGGTTTTTGAACAGCTTGCGCACATGTCGGGAGCTCAGGTGGTAATATCAATTCAGATGTTCCACTAATTTTTACATTGTTGCGTTTTTATCTGTCTTCCAGATCTGCTTTCTTGTCTTTAATCTATCTGTGCTTTTCTATATGTTCATCATGTGCATCTACTAGACCATTTACTGTAGAAGCAATATCTTCCATTTTTGGGACGCTCTTTTCTTAAGTGACGTGATATCATATTTAAATTGCTGCATTAAAGAGAGCATATCGCTTTGTAGGGAGCTTCTAAGAGACAGTAACATGTCTTTCAGGATGGTAGCCATAACTGGTTGGTTAGATGTAGGAAATGCTGTGCTCCTATAGTAGGATATACATTGCTCACGTCCTGGATGTCATGTGAGGAAAAATCCATCCTCATCCCCGCTTTGGCTGGGCTGGGCCGCTGGAGGCTGGAGTACCTGGAGGGGGAGAAGAATGACCGGTGGCTGCCTCTGATGTCTCCATTGAGACGTTTTGTTGTGAGTCCTACTCTGTGGGCTGGATGGCTGTAATCTGTAGAGGCTGTGTGATGCTCTGTGTCTTGATCATTCCTTATTGCTTGCTAAAACAAGTGGAGTCTCATGGAGTGGGCAGGGCTATATGCATACATTTTTAAAAGGCGCTTGGACTAATAGCTGTTGTCTCTGCGTCATTTTAAAACCACACCCAGGACCTAATTGATGTGCCAGATACAGGTCTGGAGCATGGTGACTCCTATTTTCACAACAATTCTGTGTTCTTGCTCTTCAGATTGTTATGGTTCTGATAACCTGTGGACCTATTGCTACATGTAAAAAAAAACCAGGAACAAAATTGTTCCCACATCAACCTGTCAAATTTCTTGTTAAATAGAGATACAGTAACTGCATTAACATTCCTGAGCTGCGGAATATGCAGGTTAGGGTTCCCATTTGCAAAATTCTGCTCTTTTGAAAACATAAGATTGGCATATACAATCACGTGAAAAGATACGTAAACATGGACATTTTTAACTTTTTCAACATACAGTATTTCATAAGGCAAACATTAGATCTCTTATTCAAACTGTGCCTATAAATAAAGGTATAACAATATACAGTGTAGCATAAATTCTCAAGGAAAATGTGTCTTTTCAAATATTTATTCAACAAAATATCAATAGATGTAAAAGTGTACTGTGGAACAAATAATATACCCTTGGTCATTTCTTTTTGAGTAATTCTTTGGTGAATTTCATAATGTGCTTTAGATCATGGAAAGATATATTTCTGGTTCAAACAGATGGCCTTGCATGTCACATTATGCACACTTTGATATGATGCAGAGCTCATAGTTGACTCTATGGGGGGGTTACAAAACTGGAGCACTTAGAATATGGTGCAGCTGTGCATGGTAGCCAATCAGCTTCTAACTTCAGCTTGTTCAAATAAACTTTGACAGTAAAATCTGGAAGCTGATTAATCTCTATGCAGAGCTGCACCACATTTTGCACACTCTAGTTTTAGTAAATATCCCTCGATGACTACAAGCTGCCCAGGCCCTCAAGCAGCAAAGCAACCCTAAACCTAAACATTTCCACCAGCATGCTTCATAGTTGGTAAAAGAGGTTGTTTTCCAGAAATGCTGTTTGTACCAAATGTTTACTTTCACAAGGTTTTCTTACCCTTTGGCCCATACCCTCCTTAGAGGATGTAGTCCAGTCCCATAAAAGTCCAAGGGGCCAAACTGTGCACACGTGGACACGAGGTGAAGTAGCTGTCAGAGCAATGTAACCAATGGCGTGGGCCTCATTGTGAGATCTAGTTAAGTATAAAGCATTGAGGGGAGTAGGGCTACATCTTTTTTTGGGGTGATAGGTACAAAAGGCCAAGGAAACTTTGAGTTAAAGTTCCCCTACCCTTAAGTCCAATTCCAGTCAAAACATTTTATTTTGCAGAAAATAGTTAGGACTTCCATCTGTTTTTTTATTGCGTCTTTGCCTTTGTGTTTCTGTGACAACGACTCTCCATTTCTTGCACGGATGTTTCCCAGAAGCCCTGAAACCCAGTGTGCTTTGTCATGCAAATTTTGACATTAACTAGGTACTGTAGTTGTTGAGGTAACCCTTCCTCCCCAGTGCTTTCCTATTAGTCATTGTGGCAAACCAACCCAAGGGAGAAGAATAGTGAGACGTTGGCGCTTGCTAGACGAAATCATTATTCACTTATTAGATGAAAGATAAGTGAGTTAATATTCTGAATTTGGTTTGCATTGTTTAAAAGAGAAGTATGGGATTTAGTTTTTTTTAATTTGCACTTATCTAGGTGTATGAAGCATCGATCTGATGCTGCATCTGTCTCCCACCGGCTCTAAGGGTGAGAACTGAGTGATCAGACATCACTCAGTTTTCCCTTCCGCTCTGAGCAAATAGCGGTGACTATCAAATAAATAAATAAAGTATAGTGCAGCGCTAAGTAATAGCAATGAATGTGAGAAGTATAAATGAATGATAAATGAATAATAAATGTCCCATAGAATATCTCAAAGCACAAATGAACCGTTCATAAAATATATAAGATGATCCACTTGTTGTAGCAGTATACCAAGGCAAGTTGTGACAGGAACAAATTATAAAAGTGCGCACTCACCGGATGCGCATAAATATTGCGCATGTAATCAATATCCACCCGGATCACTTAGGAAGGCGGAGTACGTGAGCTTTCATCTAAAGGTAGGTAATCTCGTCTTGGTGAAATCAAACTGCTAGGTCCACAGGTCCCCTTAATGTTGGACGGGTGCACAGCCTGGGTACAGGGCTCCCTCCCTCTGGTGGTAGTGGATTGCAATCAGATGTCCTGGAATTCAATTAGCTACAATGGGAGCCAAAAAGGTGCCCATAGTGTAGTATTTATAAAAAGACTTTATTCATAGGGTGCACATATAAAACAGGGTAGTATCCCCTCTAAAAATGTCTGTATTAGTGAAGAGTAGTACTGGCCCCTTAGTAAAGATGGCTGCCGGGCCTCCTCGTGGCTGTGGGCGGCTGTGATGTCACGCTCTGTTGGCTCCTCCTTAGGCCTTTCGTGCAGAGCACATCATCAGAGGGGAGGCCAGAGCGGTGACTGTCAGTCTGCCCCCCCTCAGCACTCACTGGAGTGCTGCCCTTGATGGGAGGCGGGAGCTGCTGGCTTAGGCTGTCAGTGGATTGCTGATGGGCTGAGCCAGGTGCCGGTCCAGGCTTCTGTGTGGATCACAACCATATGGTCGTAATCCTTCCCCAGCTTGGACCCGCTGTGTGATGTCAGCCGAAAGTGGAATTTACCCCGCTGGTGCCTGAAAACGGGTGGACGAACGAGCTTTGGCTGTACTTCTCCTTTAAAAACCTGTATATTTTCACTTTAAATAATCTTGTTTCACATTTCAATATTTTTAATTGACACAGTCCACCTAGCTTCTATATTAGAAGTGCAGCTGGAGACACTGGCACGGGCTTTTAGTTTTTGTAAGGACTTTTAGAACAGTGGTCTCTAACCTGTGGCTTTTAGGCTCCTTAAAGCTAGTACAAAAAAAACACTCAAAATTAGCTTTTTTTTTGTTAAAAGCACGGAGGGGGAGTTAAGCCTCAAACATGTAGCTGAGCTACTTTTAGACGTTACCTCCAGTGTTTCTGTTTCTTTTTTGTTTTTATCTGACTCAAAAAAGCCACATCATACACTTTCAATAAGCAGGAAGCCAAACCAAGGTTTGCTTTGTGTACATGATGTAACAAAACTATAAAATGTGTGTATATATATTTCCTTTTATTGTTCCACTTGTAATTTAAAATGGTTTGCAATGTAATATTGGTTGGCCGTCTTTGTGGCCAAATAGTTAATCGTTTATATTAACACTTTTTTTTTTTTTTTTTTAGCCAGTAGGCATTGACAAGGGCAAAAACATTGGTTTAACAGAAGATAATCTGAACGTGCTGTTCATCACCATAAATGGCTGCAGCAATATGAAGTCTGGAACTAGTACAAGTCAGCCCAGTCCTTATGTGGCCTACACCTTTTTTCACTTTCCTGACCACTATACTAACACCATAGCAAGCAGCAATAATCCGCAATTTGAAGACCTCAAGTGCTTTCCCTTATCCATGAATGCTGACCTTGACAAATACCTGAAATCTCAATCTCTTGTTCTGTATGTTTTTGATGACAGAGAAATGGGTGATACTTATACTTGTAAAGCCATGGTGCCTTTAATCCCTCTTGCTCATGATAAATGCATTTCAGGTTTGTTTACAACAAATAACAAAAATATAATTTTATTTTTATATTTTTAGGTGGGGTTTAGATGTAAAAGGAGAAACATTACTAACTATTCACTTATGGATGTATAAATAACCATGTACAGTATATACAAAACTCAAAATATGTGCAGTGTACTGAGTTCTGCTTGCAAATTTTGTTCTGTTTTGCTATTTATTTTATGGTAAAGGAGGCATAGCTGTGCCATATGACAGTTCTTCTTATAGATTCTGGAACTTTGAGATTATCTATAGTCTCTATTTATTATTATTTATTTAAATTATTTTTCAGACAAAAATACCTCTTAATGCTGCTGTCCGGTTTGGAAACGTGTATACTTTTTTCTGATCAAACTCCATTTTGAAAGTACTACACATTTTGGAAATTGCTCTCCGATTTGGCACTAAAAGCATTCAATTTCACACTTTACCAGTGCAGTACTAGCATAAGCTTTTGTCAGTTTCCTGACAAATGAAACAATATGAATCATGCAGTTATTAAAGTGGTATATATAGAAACACTCAACAGTGAACATAAGCATGTATCATAAAAAAAAGTTTCCAACAGCCCCACTGCATCCCAAGAAGATTGTGGGCTGACGAGAAGAAACAACTTTCCTACTCTTTTTTAATAGACTCCTGTCCAGTACACAGAAGCCAGACATAGGGCATGCAAAGAAACAGCTACTCGTCTGCGTTTTTTTTTTTTTAAAATGCACTGATGAAATGTTGTAAAGTAGCAAGTAGCACAGAACAAAGTTTCTACACACAGCCAGTTATAAAAATTGCAATTCATAGTTTATGGCTACTGTTGTTTTTTGACATCAGAGACACAAGTGTTTATTGTAGGGTCATGTATATTTGGCTTTTATCCTATCTTCAGTGGTGTATACAGTATATTTAAATCTGCATTTGATATGTTTGATTTTTCAGCATATGTGAACACTGCTGAAAAGCTGTTTGAGTGAGATTGGTTATAATCTAAAGGACAGATGTGCTAGCTTATGTTGATTATTAACTGCTCAAAAAAATTAAAGGAACACTTTTTAATCAGAGTATAGCATCAAGTGAATTAAATTCCTGGGATATTGATCTGATCAGTTAAGTAGCAGAGAGGGATGTTAATCAGTTTCAACTGCTTTGGTGTTAATGAAATTAACAACAGATGCACTAGATGGGCAACAATGAGACGACCACCAAAACAGGAATAGTTTTACAGGTGGAAGCTACTGACATGTTTTTCCCTACTCATATTTTCTGACTGTTTTTCTCTAGTTTTGCATTTGGCTAGGGTCAGTGTCACTAGCATGAGGCGATACCTGGACCCTACAGAGGTTGCACAGGCAGTCCAACTCATGGCACATCAATACGTCCCATTGCCAGAAGGTTTGCTGTGTCTCCCAGCACAGTCTCAAGAGCATTGAAGAGATTCCAGGAGACAGGCAGTTACTTTAGGAGAGACTTCATGAGAGCCTGAGGTCCCAACATCCACTAGTGGACCCCATGTTCACTGCCCGGCACCATAGCGCTTAATTGGCATTTGCCATTGAACACCAAAATTGGCAGGTCCACCACTGGCGCCCTGTGCTTTTCACAGGTGAGAGCAGGTTCACCCTGAGCACATGTAACAGATGTGGAAGGGTCTGGAGAAGCCGTGAAGAACATTAAGCTGCCTGTAACATCATTCAGCATGACGGTTTTGGTAGTGTGTCATTAATGGTCTGGGGAGGAGGGATGCACAGACCTCTGCAGGCTAGACAATGGCATCCTGACTGCCATTAGGTATCGGGATGAAATCCTTGGACCCATTGTCAGGTCCTACGCTGGTGCAGTGGGTCCTGGGTTCCTCCTGGTTCATGACAATGCCCGGCCTCATGTGGCGAGAGTATGCAGGCAGTTCCTGGAGGATGAAGGAATTGATACCATTGAATGCCCCCCACTCTTGTCTGACCTAAATCCAAAAGAATACCTCTGGGATATTATGTTTCAGTCCATCTGACAGTGCCAGGTTGAGCCTCAGACTGTCCAGGAGCTCAGTGATGCACTGGTCCATATCTGGGACGAAATACCCCAAGACACCATCTGTCCTCTCATTAGACATTGTCAGGCATGCCTACAAGCATGTGGGGGCCATACAAATCACTGAGTACCTTTTTGAGTTGCTATAATTTCAGCAAAATGGACTAGCCTGCTGCATCATTTTTTCACTTTGATTTTCGGGGTGTCTTTGAATTCAGTCCACTGTAGGTTGATAATTTTCATTTCCATCAAATGATGGGGCATCCTTACGTTCCTAACACATTACCCAGTCCATATCAGTATAGATATCAAGCATGGTATTTTTCCCCATTGAGATCTGATGTGTTTTCAAAGTATTTCTTTAATTTTTTTGAGCAGTGTAGTTTAAAACTATATATGTTTTGATCACTGGCCCCATGCCTTTGTCTTATCATCTGGCATATTGCTAACATGTGATCTACCTAATAGCTAGCTCTGCCAGAAAGGCAATATTTGAGGGCTGCAGAGAGTAGCAATTAAGACGCTTTACCTTGTTGAGATCCACGGTCATCAGTGACAGAATAAGTTAGGTTGTGTAAAGAGTACCCTCATGTTGTCTTTCTTATTGAGGGATATGAAGCATTGTCAGCAAGTACCCTCTAACAGAAAAAGCAAGCATTTTTTTTGAACAGCTAGTTACAGACAGCAGATATCTTATCTGTATGTTGCCAAATCTATGGGTCGTAATTACTGACATCTTTGATTTCTGCTTTATTAGTAATTTGTTTTGTAAGATATGAAACTCTATTTAATCCTGACAGCAGGATATTGCATGCTTAGGCAGTTTTATTTATTTATTTAAAAATAATGGTAATAAACGCAAAAGCAAAAATGTATTATTTTGCAGATTAACCGATTTAGAGGTTAGGGCTGCATTACTTTTTTTTAGACTATTTTTACTTTATTTTCACAATGTGATCCTGCCAGTAAGTCTGTTGTTTAAAAAAAAAACAAGCTCTCTTGCAAAATTTTATCAGTTAATCAGTTACAGGGATGAGACAAACCATTTACCACTGGTAGGGATGCTTATCTATTTATTTATGTAAAACCTTTATCTAAAAAGGAAAAAAAACTGTTGTTGCAACTGCTTATAAAGTGTTAGACGCTGGAGTGTTGCTTCAATTTTTAATGTATCTAAATCTGCTAGTACATCTAACACTCCCCTCCCCCCAGATTAACAATGCTATTATCAAAAGGTGCCCCTGTGCGCCTTCATCCAGAATGGGGGTACTCTAATACAGGAGATGTGTTACAGGCCAGATCACCAGGTGAAAACAGAGGGAAAAAAGCCTAAAAAAGAAAACGAATGCAGTCACCATATCTAGTGATTGGTAAGCTGCAATTTATTACACTTTTGGTTTTGGTTTTAATAATGCTTTAAATGAAATTCCTATTTTGTTTTATGTATTTTGTTGTTTTGTCTTAAAAGGAACATTTCAACTCACTGATCTCCAAGGCAATGAAAGGGGTACTATTAAGGTCACCTTAAAGTGGAAGTCCACATATTTGCCCCCAGGAGACTCTATTTTAACAGAACGATTGAAGGATGAACTACAGAAAGAAACACCACTGCCTGGCAGTTTACTCAAAGACCCTGTCCCTGTTGTAAGTAGTATTTCTCCAAATGAAACCATAAAATGTCTTTTACAAAATAGTTGACTCATGAATTTCTACAATGAGCCAAAATATCATACATCCAAGGCCATATATGGCTGACATGGAGGCTAAAAAAAACACAATTTTATTATTTTTTGAATACACCTAGCAGATCAAAAAATTGTTTTGTTCTTTTATTCCTCAGAAATGCATTACTATATTCTAGATCAATGAGAGTCCCTAACATTTCAAGAGGGCCCTACAATAACAGTGAATTTTTGTGCATTGAGGTGCAGTGCTTCAAGTTAGGCTGGCCACTCGAAAATTAATGGGCTGTAACACACCTCAAAACGTTTGATACTACTGTATTTTTGCAGCATATTGCAGTGCACACTAAAGAGGAAGTTGGGAGCAAAATCTATCCCATGCCGCATTGGTAGCCAGTGTCAGTGTTTTCTGTTTGCACCGCCTCACCCCATTGATGGTCAGTGGCAATAAGATTTAACCACCCAACACTAGTCATCGCTTACCTGATCACACTCTTCTGCTGCTTTCTCTCTACCCAAGGCCAGGACATTACTTGTTTTGTAGGCAGAGATCACCCTTCTCACAAAGGAGTCTTTCTCTTGGTGCTAGGTGCTGAAATGCCGAGAGTGTTCCAATGTCTGACACTGGTGCCGAATAGGTGTCAGGCCACACGCAGATGACCTGCAGGTCACTTGTTTGGCACCACTGGACATCACTAGAAATACAGTTCGGCTTTGGTGTTGCATAAGGGTGGACAGCTGAAGCTGAAATTTCCATTTTATTCCCCCTAACTCTCATAACTATGATGCCTCCTTTTACCTACAGTGGATATAAAAAGTCTACTCACCAATGTTAAAATGTTTGGTTTCTGTGATTTAAAAAAATGAAAACTGGACGTCCAAAATTGATGAAAAGACAAGAAGAAAACTGGTCTGGGAGGCTGCCAAGAAGAGGCCTACAGCAACATTAAATGAGCTGTTTTTCTTCAGCTGGAAATGGGACCTTAGTCAGGGTAGAGGGAATTATGAGCAGTTCCAAATACCAGTCAATATTGGCACAAAACCTTCAGGCTTCTGCTAGATAGCTGAACATGAAGAGCAACTTCATCTTTCAGCATGACAACGACCCAAAGCATACATCCAAATCAACAAAGGAATGGCTTTACCAGAAGAAGATTACAGTTTTAGAATTGCCCAGCCAGAGCCCAGATTTGAATCTGATTGAAAATCTGTGGGGTGATCTGAAGAGGGCTGTGCACAGAAGATTCCCTCGCAGTGTGACAGATTTGGAGTGTTTTTGCAAGAAAGAGTGGTCAAATATTGCAAAGTCAAGATGTACCATGCTGATAGACTCATACCCAAAAGACTGAGTGTTGTAATAAAATCAAAAGATGCTTCAGCAAAGTATTAGTTTAAGGATGTGCACACTTATGCAACCATATTATTTATTTTTTTTACTTTTATTCCCTCCACCTAAAAGATTTCAGTTTGTTGTTCAACTGAGTTGTACAGTTCATAGGTTACATTAAAGATGGGGAAAAAAATTCTGAAATTATTTAATTTTTTTTGTCTCATTGTTTACATCACAGAAACTTGACATTTTAACAGGGGTGTGTAGACTTTTTATATCCACTGTATCTGCTTCTTAACTGAACTGAGTCATCCAGACTTTATCTGCAACATGCTCAATGATATCCACTAAAATTAAAATTAATCATTTGCAGCAGAGGGGGTTTTCATGTGTTTTCAGTGTATTTAAATCTGTAGGCATGCAAGCTTTTCTTGCCCAAAGGATTGCTTCTTGGATCACCTTTTCAACACATAGCATCAGAACTTGCATTTGAAAAGCATCTTATGAGTAAATCATTTTCGTGGTGCTCCTTGCAGTATTTGTCTGTATTGGCGATAGAACTCCCATGTCCAAACATTACCCAAATCTCCTTTTTACCCTCTAAATTTTCCACTTTTTTCTTTGACCTTGCTGTATTGAGTAACAGCCTTCATTGCTGCATGTGACATAATCACAATCTTAAATAAAAAAATGCTGGAAGACATAACCATGTCCCACAGAACCACGACTCCCAAAAGCCTTTTTTTTACATATTGTGTGTGGACAGGCTCCTGCTGTTAAGACAGCAGCTTGGTTTTACTGGGTGGAAATCAAAGTATGCACTTGTAGCGGGCCAGAAAGATGGGGATAAGATGAGTTCTGAGTTTGTAGCTCAGCAGTCAAGGTTGACATTGCTGGTTGGCATTTTAGTGCCACAGAGGCAGTGTTGTCAGCCCAGACAGGAAGTTAGGAGCACACTGGATTTCTGCTTCATCAAGTATTTTTCTTTACTTTGTGGTTTAAAGGGATGAATCATGGGCAAAAGGTACATGTATTGCAAAGATGCACTACATTTTTTTCCCCTGACATACATTTTAAGCAGCAATGTAATTCTGCAGTACAAAAAGCTTTGGTGTTGAAACAGTTATTATTTACAAATAGTGCTCATGAAATATTTGGTTAAAGAAGCTTGTCACATCTGTCCCACACATTTTGCTGACTGTAAAAACTCTCGCTTCCAAAGTATTTTTAAGCCAACACATTTTTAGGTGGCAATTGCAGTCGCACCCAGAATAGAACAGACTGATCAAGAACATCACTTATGCTCAAAAGCCAGTTGCATTTTTTTATATTTCTTTGTGGTATAAGTCAACCACCAGAGGATAACTGTATTCAGGACAATTGAAGATGTGTTTGTGTTTTTTATAATACCATGTTATATGTATACGTTATAGCTTAGAACAGGTTTGCTTATACTGTGCAATATCACATAACATGATCTCATATGATTATACATGTTACAAATCAACAAATACTTCAGTTTAGCATAGTCCGAAAAAGTAATTTCCAAAAAGCTGTTAAAATTCTTAAGCAGCATACAGTACATATTCCCTTAAATTTAAACAGAAGTCTTATGCTGGCCATATACATGGCAATTTTCCAAGGATTTTGAGCATCTTATCAATAAAAAAAAAATCAAACAGATCAAGGCAACCTACCGCCAACAGTAGGTGTATGTATGTATACTGTATATGTATGTACTCTATGTATCTGTGTGTATGTATGTATATATATATATATATATATATTTATATATATATATATATATATATATATATATATATACAGTTGTGCTCAAAAGATTGCATACCCTGGCAGATATTGTGAAATTTTGGCATTAATGTTGCAAATATGACTGATCATGTCAAAAAATGCTCTTTTATTGAAGGATGATGGTCATGTGAAGCCATTTATTATAAAATAGTTGTTTGGCTCCGTTTTAAATCATAATGATAACAGAAATCACCCAAATGACCATGATCAAACGTTTACATACCCTAGCCTTGGTACAGACACACAAGGTGACACACACAGGTTAAAATGCCAATTAGAGGTTAATGTTCCACATCTGTGGCTTTTTAAATTGCAATTAGTGTCAGTGTATAAATAGTCAATGAGTTTGTTAGCTCTTACGTGGAAGCACAAGTACTGTGTAACAAGTTAATGGAACTTTATAAAGATGGAAAAGGACATAAAAAGATGTCCTGAAAATATATATGGAAAATAATAATTTTATCCCCTGCAGAAATGAAGAATCTATAATTGGCATTATGGTCGACTGTTCTTAACAGATCTTCTCTAAATACTTAAGGTTTCTTGTCGCTGTCGCTTGGCCCCTTAATGGGGCAAAGTCGGTCTGTACCTTTAGCAGAGAAACAGCCCCAAAGCATAATGTTTCCTCCTCTGTGCTTAACTGTAGGTATGGTGTTATTAAGGTCTTAGTCAGCATTTTTCTTCCTCCAAACAGGGCGAGTCGAGATAATGCCAAAGAGCTCAATTTTGGTCTCATCTGACCACAGAACTTTCTCCCAATCCTTCTCTGAATCATTTATATGTTCATTGGCAAACTTCAGACAGGCCTGTACATGTGCCTTTTTGAGGGGGACCTTGCTGGTGCTACAGAATTTTACCATGTTACCAATGGTTTGTTTAGTGACTGTGGTCCCAACTGCCTTGAGATCATTCACAAGCTCACCCCATGTAGTTCCGGGCTGATCCCTCACTTTTCTCATGATCATCCTTACCCCATGAGGTGAAATCTTGCATGGAGCTCCAGACCGAGGGCAATTGATGGTTATTTTGTATTTCTTCCATTTGCGAGTAATCACTTCAACAATTGTCTCCTTCTCACCAAGCTTCTTGCTGATGGTCTTGTAGCCAATTTCAGCCTTGTGCAGGTCTTCTACCTTGTCCCTGATGTCCTTTGACAGCCATACCCTTCATTTCTTTGTAAGTAGATAATCTTACAAAAATCTGCAGGAGATCAAATATTTTTTCCCCCACTCTTTGTGTGTGTGTGTGTGTGTGTGTGTGTATATATATATATAAAAATATGTATATTTGTTGGTATCCTAACAGCTTATTGAAACAGCACTTCATTCCACCTGAAATGTGATGGCATTAACAGCAATTGTCTCATGTATACTTGCATGCCTTTGGTATGCCAAAGAGTAAAGCAAAGAAAGTATGTGAATACATAAATTATTGCTTATTGTTCAAAGATATTCTAAAATGGTCCGGATAATTGGATCATGGTCTGGTTCCATTTGTTAATCTGAAGCTCTTTGAAAGTAGACCCGAGGTGAATACTTTTGCTGTGGGGTCAGTGTGTAGAGACATAACTGATATTTCAGGGCTGTTTCACACCAAGTACATTGGAATGCAAAAGAAGGCAAAAGAACGCTTTGTTTCATATGGCGTCCGTTCACACCACTGCATTGCAGTGGTGTGCACTGAGAATGGTACTGCATATCTCGTTGACATTTCATCAAAGTTTGGACAGAAAGCTGTCTGCTGTGAATGAGCCCTTAAACTAAATGTTTTCTGTAGTTATCGTCTTGTAATCTATCAGTCAGCCTATTTTTTTTTTAACT